TGGTCAGACATAGATCAACAGCTGCCAGCATGGAGAGGAAATAATACATGGCCTTGTGGAGTCTCCGCTTAGTAATGACGACAAGAAAGATCATACTGTTTCCCAAGAGGGCAATGGTGTAGAGACAGCAGACTGGAATGGAGATCCAGACATGAACACATTCCAGGCCAGGGTATGCAGTGAGGAGGAAGTTTGAAGAAGACGAAGTGGTGTTATTAAATATCGCCATGGTTGGTTGAAGACACTGAACTATGAGGAAAGAAAAATAATTAAGATTCTTATTACGTGTCATACATTTTATTAGTCATTTTATATACAATTTTCAATTTACAGTAGACTTTTTCATCTGTTTTAAAGAAAGGAAATGGACACGGGAAGGTTAAATAGTATATGCAGGCTAAAATAGTTAAATAGATTCAAATTCAAAACCAAATTTATTAACTCCAAAGTCTATTATTTTTTACTGAACTTCAGATGATCTGAGAGGCCAGGCTAATGAGACAAATTTGGATGGCTGAATGTTAATTTCCTTCTTTTAAAATATAAACATTTTTAACATTCTTTTATATTTGTATATAATCTACAGGAGGGATAGAGATGAGAAATAAGCAAATAGAGAGCTATATTCTCATGACTCATCTAAAGAATGTGGAGTCCAAGTGTTTTTGAAACTATGTGTAAAAGTCTACATATGTTTGTATTGGTTTTATCATCATGCTGATGAATGCAGAGGGGTGTTTGGGGTGGAAAAGTAACTGAGAGATGAGATGTTTGTAAAGCAGATAGCAGTTATCCTCAGTTCTTTGAATGATATCTCATAAAGACAAAAAAGAAATGACACTGGATAATGTGAGTGGGGTAAAAGGAGAGGAGACAGTGGCTCCGTTTGCTGCTGGGGAAATTTTTCTGTGTAATGGAGACAGAAAAAGAAGGAGAGGGCTTTCTCTCTGTGAGCTCATACACTCTGAAGCCAGTGGTAGGTCCCAGTTCAGTGCCTAAGTTTATCAAGGTTTTCTCAACATTGCCAGCTAACCAGAGCACTATGTTAGTGCTTTCTCTCTTCAGGTATAAGCCTCCATCCTACTGGCCAGGAAGAAGATAGCATCTGCCCATTCATATACAGAAGGCCAGGTGAAATTGTTTGAATAACACTCACTCCACTCAATAACTGAGTGACCCAAAGGTCAACATCCAGATTTTCTGGGCTCAGTAATGTAACAGACCCATCCTCTTCATTTACCAACCCTACCTTCTGTTAATTTGTGAACACAATTATATTTCCTACACAATTCAGAATCTACCCTGACAGTTACGTGACATATTAAGCTAAAACTATCCTCTACTTCAATCTTTGCACCACATTTTGCTTGGACCTTTCACTTGGTGCTTAATAATGAGGCACAGCTGATATTGATCATTTACATATGCAAATACCATATTCTTTTTCTGCCAGAAGTTTGAGTTTTTTTAAAGTTTGGACATGCATGTTTTTAATCTCTCAGTGCTAGTTACTAGTTATCTAGTAATAGGATCAGAAAGTAACAGGATCAGGAAACACAGAAAGTTTCATTTAGCAACACTGATTGATTGCCAAACGACTATCGCCATGGAAAGAAAGTTTTGAGTTCTATTGCCCTTTGCCTTTGTCTCTTCTCTCTCCTCCTGTCTTCTCTCTCCCTATCTCAATTTCTTCCAGTATCTGTTACACCCCTCTCTTTCTTCATCGCATGTTAAAACTCCCATCAATTTATTGTTTTATCTTCTTCCTCTCCTTATCTTACCATCCTTCATTTTTAAAAAACTCCCTCTCCTTCAGTTTTTTTTTTCCCCAGATTTGCACTCCTGCCTTACCTGGTCACATCAGCAGGAAACACCACCAACTTCTCTTCAGTCCCGTAACAGAGCGGGGACTAAACCAGCTTCCAAAGCAAGGACTTTATAGGCAACCCAGTAGAGTCCCCAGGCAACAGAAAGCATTCTTGATTAGTAAGCATTCTGGTTGGAGTAAGAGTGATGGAACCCATATGCTTATATTCCCCTAGGCAACTCAGCCATATCTCTGAGACTTACCTTCAAACCCTGCTCCCAGGCCCAAGCAAATCCCATCCATCAGGGGCTGGGAGAAGAGCCCTAGCCCTGGAGGCTGACAGTAATGGATATCTGCAAAAGCTGCCTGCCTGGGTCAAATAACCATAACCATTCCTCTTTACCTAGCCTTAGGCTAAGGACTCTCATGCAGGAAGGCTCCTTGAATGTCAGAGCTGGATTAGGAAGGCAGAAAGAGTCATCCCATTGTTCTCTGCTTTCAATATGTCCTCTTCCTAAGAGGTCTCATTACTCCCCTGGCTAATCCTATATCCCTCTTCTTACACAGGAACTCCTCCTAAGAACCCCTCCTATTCAAGTCATATCTGGAGCCATCTACCTTCTAAGCATAAGTAACCTAACATTTGATAAACACATAATACATGCCAGAAACTATATCTTTCAAATATATTGTCTATTTTTTCATGATCAATCTTATGAGTTACGTATTATTACCTATTATTTCACAGCTGAGGAAACTGAAGCTCAGAGAGATTTTTTAGTAACTTTCCTGTCTAAAAGTTAGTAAGTTGCAGAAATGGTACTCAAGCCTATTTCAGAAATAGTACCAGAAATGGTACTCAAGACTTCGAAAAAAGTCTTATTTCAAAGCTTTTCATCTTAACCAACATGCTATATTACCTTCTAATGCCAACTGCTTCCATTCATATCTTCAGGAACTATGATTTAAATGAATGACCCTCAATCTGTCAGTTTCATAGATTGATTCCCAACTGTGTGCCCACATCTGGTTTAAGCTTCGTTTAGACTGGAATCCAGCTATTCACAGTAGACAGTCAATTAACAATCCTGATTATATCTAATCTACCCTGGCCTTTTGTACTTTCCACCCATCCCCTGGTGCCAAAAAGACAGAGTCTTTTTGTCACTCAGGCTAGAGTGCAGTGGCACAAGCTCGGCTCACTGCAACCTCCACTTTCTGGCTTCAAGCAATTCTCCTGCCTTAGCATCCCCAGTAGGTGGAATTACAGGCACCAACCACCATGCCTGGTTAATTTTTGTATTTTTAGTAAAGATAGAGTTTCACCATGTTGGCCAGGCTGGTCTCAAACCCCTGATCTCGTGATCTGCCCACCTAGGCCACCCGGAGTCCTGGGATTACAGGCATGAGCCATAGCACCTGGCCCTTTATGTGCTTCTTAAAACATTTTCCAAATATATTCTCATTATGTATGTATGAGTCAGACTGAGCAAAGGTGCTTATCCCACTGAGTATCAAGGAAGATCAGGTAACTTCATAGAGTTGCACATCAGGTAATGCTCAGATGCATAAGTAAACACTACGCTCTTTCCCTGGTTCCTATCAGTGAAGATATGTGACTGTGAAAATTCCAAATAAGATTTATGAATTTTAAATAGGAACAGAAAAAATAGGAAGTATTAAATCAAATATAATATAGTTTTCATTAATTAATTAATTCAAAAATATATATTAAGTGTCCACTATTTTTCTAACCTACATTACACACTTGGGATACAATGAAGTGGGATAAAAGTGTCCCTGTTCATACAGAGTATATATTAAGTGCAAGTCAGAAAAGCCCTCTGAACAGAAGTGAGGCTGAGATTGAGATCTAAAGCTTTTTTTTTTTTTTTTTTTTTTTGAGACGGAGTTTCGCTCTTGTTACCCAGGCTGGAGTGCAATGGTGCGATCTCAGCTCACCGCAACCTCCGCCTCCTGGGTTCAGGCAATTCTGCTGCCTCAGCCTCCTTAGTAGCTGGGATTACAGGCACGCACCACCATGCCCAGCTAATTTTTTGTATTTTTAATAGAGACAGGGTTTCACCTTGTTGACCAGGATGGTCTTGATCTCTTGACCTCGTGATCCACCCGCCTCGGCCTCCCAAAGTGCTAGGATTACAGGCTTGAGCCACCGCGTCCGGCTTGAGATATAAAGCTTATATGAAATTTCTTATTTTTCCAACTCACTGACTACACCATTTCCTCAAACTCTGCACATGCTATTTATTTTCAATATTTTTTCCTTTCTGATTCCAACCTCTTAAAAATGTATGCCTTATGTTATAAAATCTATAAATAAATACACAAACAAAGACAAAAGAAAAGAAATGCTCTATGTTCATCACTGAATACCAGAGTGATTCTAATGGAGTATAAGAGCTATATTCTCAAAAAAAAGTTATTATACCATGACATACAACAGAAAACTACTCAGCAATAAAAAGGAATAAACTACCAATACATGCAATAACATGAGTGAATCTCAAAAGCATTTTATTAAGAAGCTAAACATGAAAGACTATATAATGCAAGATTTCATTTGCATGACACTGTGGAAAAGGAATCTATACAGGGAGGGAGACCCAATCAATGCTTGCCAGAGGGTGGGTGATAATAGAGTGATTGACCACAAATGCACAACATAAAGAAATTTGGGAAAGTTATAAAATTGTTCTGTATCTTTGTTTCAGTGGTGGTAAGTAACACAATGCATTTGTCAAAACCTATGAAACAATATACCAAGATGAGTAAATTTTATTATACATAAATGTTTGAAAGTTACTTAATACTATGTTAAAGTATAAAATTTTATGTTTTTATTAAGCTAAAATAAATTATTGCTCTTATCAAAACCATTTTGCAATTTAATTTGACAACCCATTACATTTGTACTGTTCAATACAGCAGCTACTAGCCCCATATGACTACTTAAATTTACATTTAAATCAACTAAAATTAAGTACATTTAAAATTCAGTTCCTCACCTTGCACTAATAAAATTTCAAGCATTTAATAGCCATGTATGGCTACTGGTTACTAAACAGAAGAGAAATAAGAAAATATCCATTTAGGCTGGAATTTCTATTGGATAGTACTGTATTTGATACTCTTGTCTAACTCGATTGCATTTACATGGAAATAGTAGATGCCATTAATGGCCAACCCTAGCCCCACAGAAGGCCTGGACAATCCGCCATCAGATCTGCTTGGTCCTAACACTGTACACAATGGGATTGAGCACAGGAGGGAGAAGCAGGTAGATATTGGCCATGAATGTGTGTATTACTGGTGACAAATGCTTCCCATGGCCATGAATTAGAGTCATGCCAATGAGAGGCACATAGAAAAGCATAACTGCACAGATATGAGAGAGGCAGGTGTTGAGACCCTTGAGCCTCTCTTCCTGGGAAGCAATGTCCAATACTCCCTGGAGAATTAGAATTAAGAGGCCAAAAGTATCAAGGCATCTAGTACAATGATGAGGATCACAGCCAGCAGGCCATAGATGCTATTGACACTGGTGTCAGCACAGGCAAGCCTCATGGCATCCTGATGGAGGCAGTATGCATGAGAGAGGACATTGGAGTGGCAGAAAGGTAACCTTTTGGTAAGAAAAGGCACAGGGAGCACAGTCACCACACTCCGTAGCAGGACTGCTGCTGCAATCTTGCTGATTACACTGTGAGTGAGAATGGTAGCATAGCGCAAAGGAAAGCGGATGGCCACAAAGCGATCAAAGGTCATGGCCACCAGAACACCTGATTCCACTCCCCCAAATGTGTGGATGAAGAACATCTGGATAAGGCAGACATTAAAAGTTATCGAACGCCAGTTGAACCAGTGAACACTGACCATGGTAGGCATGGAAGACAGTGAAAGGCTGAGGTCAGTGGCAGCTAACATGGCTAGAAAATAATACATGGGTTCATGGAGACTTTGCTCAACTTTGATGACAACTAGGATGGTGACATTTCCCAGGATTGTGGTACTGTAAAGAAGACAGAGGGGCAAGGCCATCCATAAGTTCTTCTCTGGCATTCCTGGAATCCCAGTCAGGATGAAGAAGCTCTGGTGGTTCTCAATAGTTTGGTTGAGTAATGACATAGTGGAATAGAGGTTTGACTAGGAAAAAAGAGAAAAGCTCATTAAGTCAAACAGGCTTCAAATGGAATCAGTAACTGTAAGTGTTGAGATGGTAGCAGTAAGAGGAAGTAACTTAAATATTATTCTTGAACATCCATGTTCAGCTTGATACAGAAACCAATAGCCCCTGCTGCATGAAGCAAGAATGCTTTCACTAACCATCAAATTTTAAAATATCTAGGAGAAAAGGAAACAAACAAACAAAAAACCTCAGTCAACATCTGAACCTAATAGGAACATATGCAATTCAAAAATATCAAGAAGCTACCGGTCTTGCAGACTACAATACTAGGGAAAAATTTGGTATTGTGTATTTATGTATATAATAAACAGTAACACCAATAACCATGAAGAATATATTGGCAACTGTGGGAATTCACTCAGGGTAGTGGCAAAAATACTAAGAGAAAAATAGTAGAGAAAGTTATAGAACATAGTCAAACTCGTTTGGCAGGTCTAAGAGTTTTTTCTATAGTTCTTGACTGAAGGCAGCTAGAATCTCTTTGCAAGAGCCAGGGATATTAGGGTGCAAATACAATAGAAAGTGAGTAGTTTGCCTAGCTAGCTTGTTTACTCATGTGGTATTAAAACGAATCTTTGAGCCAGATGACCCTCTCAGGGGCAGGTTGATGAGGGAGATTACCCACTAATGGTGTTTGCTTTGGACATTGGAACTTGGCCTTTAATCTTTCTCTACAAGTGTACTGACTTAGAGCCTCTGTTATTAAATCTATATTAAATAAATGAGGAGGGGGGAACTGGTCAGGGTCATGTAGCTGCAATCTCTCTCTGTGAGTGGCTCATGACCCCTTAGCCCACTCGTTCACTGGCAATTTGTGTCTGAGTGCATTTATTCAACCATCATGCAGCTGGGGTCTGTGGGACAGACATGGACAGGCAACCACAATCCCAATAAAAGGACTGTTCATAAACATAGATGTGCAAATATAAATATGTGTGGATGTGTGTGTGTGTACATCTTGGTTGTGATCTTAAATTGTTTTGTTTTTGATACGATCCTTTCCCTCTGTGGTACTCAATTTCTTAATCCTTCCCCTCTTTGGCACTTGTGTGATGTGAGATGGAGGAGGAAAGATACACTTTAAGGAATTTAAAGCTCCGAACTTCTGTATTCTTAAGAGTCTGTGAGTACTAAAAGGATCTGAGCTGGCAGCAAGCAAGGGAGGAAGAAGTCACGTTGATCCCAAGGAACTTTAAAAAGACCTACTATGGTAGGAGGATTAATAGCCCACAAAGATTTCCTGATCTGAATCCTTGAAAACTATCAACATCTTACTTTGCATGTCAGAAGAGGATTTTCAAATGTAGTTAAAGTTAAGAACCTTGAGATTTAGAGTTTCTTCTGCATTGTCCAGGTAGGTCCAATCAAGTCACAGGACTGCTTAGAAATGAATAATCTTTGTCAGCTGCAGAGAACCAGAAAGATGGCTGCATGAGCAGGGCTGAACATGAATTACTGACATTGAAGACGAAGGAAGGTACCCAGGAGACAAGTAATATGAGTGGCCTTTAGAAGATGGAAAAGGTAAGTGAAGAGAATTGTCCCCTAAGTCTCCAGAAAATATTGCATTAAAAAATGTTTTAAATCTTGGTTTTAGCCCAGTGAGACCCATTTTGGACTTCAGATCTAAAGAACTGTTAAAAATAAATATATATTAATTTAAGCCACTAAGTTTGTAGTAACTTCTCATGGCAGCAATACAAAACAGATACCCAGGAGCCAGAAAAGAGATGCTTTAGTACCTTTTCAGAAATATCCAGTCTTCCCATTGTCATTTTCATTTATTGAGGCCCTTTTTCTTCAATATGTTCTTCCTTGCAGTTAGATTTCTCTGTCCTAAGGTGCATCTAGAAAGGAATTTTGAGATTCATTTTTCTCTTTATTAGGAAGCAGAATGATATCTAATACCTTTAAAGAGTTTTACAACTAATATATGGTTCAGCCAGATTAAATCTATCCATGGAGAATCTCCCAAAAGACAGGTTCAAATAATGTTCAGATTACTGAAGTCAATGCCCTGAGTATCAAAACTCATCTAGACCTGTTTTCCTGTTTCTCCGTAAAAAAGATTCATTCTCCTTCTTCCATGTTCCTGTGTGACTGTTCTAATAAATGTCATCTTTAGTTAGCAGCAATTACATTTCTCACTGTAACTCCAAGTAAGGCCTAGTTAAGTCTATGGGGAATCACAGACATTAATGTCTACTGCTTGCAATGAAGAAGATTAAAGATCAAGATTAAAATCTTTTTTTTAAATTGTATTTTAGGTTTTGGGGTACATGTGAAGAACATGCAAGATTGTTGCATAGGTACACACATGGCAGTGTGGTTTGCTGCCTTCCTTCCCCTCACCTGTATCTGTTATTTCTCCCCATGCTATCTCTTCCCACCTCCCCACCGACTCGTCCCTCCCCCATTTCCCCCCAACGGACCCCAGTGTGTAGTGCTCCCCTCCCTGTGTCCATGTGTTCTCATTGTTCAACACCCGCCTGTGAGTGAGAACATGAAAAAAAAAAAAAAAAAAAAGATTAAAATCTTGATGCCACACAATCAATTATCTTCCATTTTAATATTCTGGTGTCATCTTAAGAACATATATTCAAATGTGCAGCTGAGCTAATCTCCTTTTCAGGCCAGTCTAACCACAGCTGACAAAGGTTCAGGATTAAAGAAAGAGTAGTGCTATAGTGGCTCTGAACTTTGCATTTATCATAACCATTTTGAGAATCCCACAAAGAATCTCTCAGTTAAGAATGCACACACACACAGGCACACACACACACCAACACACCATACACACTTACACAAGCAAAGTTCTGCATAAAAATTAAATGAATTCAGATATTTTTGAAAAGCATCTATGGACCTAGGTTAAGAACTCTTTCTTTAAGGTATTCTTTTTAAAAAATGAAGTAGTAGCCTTGGTCACTGAAAGGAACAAATCCACCAGACAAAATCCAGAGCTACACACAAGAGACAGAGGGCTCTGGATACTTGGGAATGAATGAGATAGAAGAAATTACTCCAAATTTCTCAGTCAGTAGTTTAGTGCAGTATTTTTTTTTCCAATATGGTAGTCCCCAGAAATATGCATCCATTTTAATTTAAATTTATTACATTAAATTACAATTTTACCTTACTGGTACTAGCCATATTTTAAATGTTCAATGGCCACATGTGACTAATGGCTACTGAATTGGATAAAATGGTTGTTCAATATTTTTTACATTTTTCTATGCAATATTTATTTTCATTGGCAGTTCCAAATGACCATGAAAGACTCATGAGCCAAACACCAATTGTTTTATTTTTCATTTAAAAATATATTGTCATCTAAGTCTTTGATGAAAATGTGGCTTTGTCCGTCTGTCATAAAACACATCATTTTCTGCAGACATGAATGATGAATAAACAAAACAAACAGGGAGTTAATGGGAATGACAGTATAGCAGTTGCATTCATGATTTAGTATCATTCCACTTTTCATCCAAGAAAATTGTCAATCATCCCAGGAATAAAAAATAAAATGCTATGTAAGGTACAACCTCTTTAAATTGTCAATTTTTAGCTGTTTGATAATTCATTCTTAAGCAAACTTCAACCACTTGCTACCTGCTGTATTCGTCTTCCTACTCCCTGTAGAGCATGTGAAACTATGATTGTTAGAAAACTTTCATCACTGCAGAACATTTTATTGAAACTTCAACAATTGCAGATGCAGACTGCAGACTTAAAAAATACCAACATCCTCAATGACTTCTTGAAAAATAATGGGTCCAATTGGATTGAGGGTCTATCAGTTATATAATAAGTGTTTCTCTTTACCTATATCTCTGTCTCTCTTTACCTATATCTCTCTGTCTTTGACTCTGTTTGGCAAATTTGAAAAGAAAAATAGCTTTAAAAATAAAGGCTCTGGGGTTTGAATCTTAGCTTTATGACCTTGAACATGTTATTTAATAATCACTGTGCTTAATTCCTCACCTCTTTAAAATAAAAATGAAAATAATAGTACCTACCATGGGGTTGTTAAGAGTATGTGTTTGGAATATTGATAGAGCACTTAGATGAGCACCAGGAAAATAGTAAAGACTCAATAAAGTTCAGATATAATAAATGCCCATGTATTATCTATAAACTCAGTAATGTTTGCTTGACTGTAAAAAATGTCTCTCAAAATATTTGTCATGAAATCTATTTATATGATTCTAAATTTATGCACCTACATATATATGTATATAATTTATATATTTTGATCAAATTCTGTATTGCCTAAATCTGTCTATCCGTCAGCCAGTTTATTCCAACATTTAATACCAGTGGCTTTCAGGCAGTGGCTGTTGCAGGGTTCAAGACAGTGGATTCTGTGGCTCTGTCTCAGTGACTTTGCACTTCATCACTAATGCTTACTGTAAAGGATTTAGTGAAAGCAAGTTTCAGATAAGCCAAAGATGAAAAGACAATATACTAGTAGAATTCACATGTAGTAAAAATCAGTAAGAAAAAGCAAAGAATAAGAAAATTGATTATGAGGGATGAGCAGCCACAAAAGAGACACTACACTGGCAATCCAAGCAGCTTCATCCTAGAGACCTGCAAGACATTCCAGAATTTGGGGCATGGATAGTAAACTAGGCTCCTGATTCCTTAAGATTTCATGAACCAAGGAAATTTAACCATGTTTAATTTACTTATTGATTAATGACTTCAAATCTGTTAAATTTCTGCAAAGTACCAATGTGTCATGAGTAATCAGAGGACAAAAAGAAGGATTTTTCTTTTTTCTTCCAAGACCTGTTAGCAAAGAACACATGGAAAGCAAGATGAGCTACATGAGTGTACTGTATAGCTGGAGTTGAATGAAAGCATGCTTTACAGGTGGGTCCTTATGTCCAGCATGTCTCATCAGCTGGGCTTAGCTTAATTCTGTCTCCCTCAA